TCCAATGCAAGCATCACAGAAAAGTTTGGAGTTTTCTTTCAAATTTGGTATTCCCCTAGCAGACTTTGACTTAGACAGTTTGAATAATTTTGACAAGGATATGTGTCCTAGTTTTCTATGCCAAAGCATTTCAGTATCACTCAAGCTAGCTTGAAAACATGTTTCATTGAAGGTTTTTAGACAGTTCAAATTCACGATATACATGTTATTTCTCTTGGTTCCACTAAATAACAATTTGTTATCTTTTATTCTGATGATTTGGCATGTTACTGACTCAAATATTACTCTGTTTTCACTTGAACACAACTTACTGATAGATAGAAGATTATGTTTTAACCCTTCAACAAGTAACACATCACTAATAGTGGGAAGATGATTCTTACCAATGGTTCCACTTCCCATTATTATTCCAACCCTATCATCTCCAAAAACTACCTTACCACCTTTCTTATATTTTAATGAAGAGAACAGTTCTTTCTTACTTGTCATGTGGTGGGAGCAACCACTGTCCAGAAACCAGATGTTTTCACTTACTCCCAAATTCTGCAATCAATCACAGGTTAGTGCATTTTGGTACCCAAAATGTTTTGGATGTACCAGGTTTTCTCTGATTCTGTAAATCATAACAAAATCTTGCCAAATGGCCTTTTCTTTTGCAGTAAGTACATGTATAGATGACAGGATACTTTTGATTTCGAGATAAACTATTTGAAGGTTGTTTTGTTCTATATTTATTAAAATTTTGATGACCTGATTTAGCCTTAAGCAATTTGTTTAGTCTCTGATTTTCATCTGTGAGCTCAAAAATCAACTTATTCAGCTTTTCATTTTCTTCATTTTGACTTAGTTAAGCCAATTATATCCTTCTTTAATCCTTGATTGTCAGTCATAAGCAGGCAGTACTTGCTCTTAAGTCTTCTACATTCCTCTTGTAGGTTTGTTAAGGCATTAAGAAAATCAGTTTTTGATTCTAGAGCAGTTTCCTCATCAGATTCAGAGTTGTTGATTACCTGATAGCATGATGGTGTTGAGTGTTGACAGATCGTTGCTGCTTGAGGATTGGTAGCCATGTTCACTGTTGGTAGCAAATGCCATGTAGGCTAGGTCTTTACCTTCATGTTCCTCATCCGAGCTGACATCACTCCAAGATGCAGCCAATGCCTTCTCCTTGGCTTTGCTTCCTGCAGGACATTTTGATCTGATATGCCCTGTCTTACCACACTTGTAACAAACTGTTAGATCTTTTTCATTGGAAGACCTATGGTCTTCCTTATCAATTTTAAACCTTTCTCGACCATCAAAAACTCTATCATATAATCTAGAAGTGCTTTTATCCAGATATGGTATGTATCTTTCGTTCGTTTTAGTGGGAGTTCTTTCAATTTCTTCCCTGTCCTTTCTATGTTCAGGAAACTGATTATTGAATTGTCTAGGATCACGATATGCCCTTTTTGCTTGAAAGTCCTTTTTCATCTTGAGCATTCGATGAAACTTCCTACTTACAAGAGCGAATTCCCTCTCAAAGTCATCTCCCATGTCTACTTCAGAATCACTGTCATATTCCTGTGCCTTGAATGCAATAACTTTTCTTCGTCTATGATCATCCTTATTCATTTGTATTATTACTTCTTCATGACTAAGTAAGGATCCAACTAGCCTTTCAATAGACAGTGTATTTAAGTCTTTAGCCTCCTCTATAGCAGTTCGCTTAGGTAACCATTCTCTAGGTAAGCATCTTAGGATTTTACGAACTAAATCCTTTGTTTCAAACAATTTTCCTAGACCTTTAAGTCTATTGATCAGATCATTAAAACGTTTGTACATGCTAGATATTGACTCTCCTGAGCTCATTTCAAATGATTCATATTCATTCAACAGGACATCAATTCTACTTTCCTTAACTTCAGACGTACCTTCGTGAGTTGTTTTAAGAGATTCCCAAATCTCCTTGGTAGACTCACATTGCGCAACCTGACTTCGTTCTTCAGGGCAAAGCGCTGAAAACAGTATATGCATAGCTCGTGAGTCGAGCTGCGATGATACTTTCTGGTCTTCTTTCCACTCTTCTTCATCTTCATCATCCATAGGAATAGGCCCTTTTCGGACAACTGCCCAAAGCTCCCCATCAACTCCGCGAAGATAAATCCTCATTCTCTTCTTCTAGACTGTGTAGTCTGTCCCATCGAACTAGGGAGGATTCGTGTTTGCAGAATAGGAAAATGCAGCCGTCGAGGATCCTGACATCCTGATCAATACTCTTTGGCGATGATTAATCCTTCAAAGAGCAGGCTCTGATACCAATTGAAGAATCAGAGTGAAAAAGAAAGTCGAACTTTTATTGAAATATTGAAGATTACAAACTCCAGAAAAGGAAACAGCAAGAACCCTAGCCAAGCCAAGAAGCTTGGCTCTTTGGAAACAAAACACTCAACACTCAAACCCCTTTCTTCCCAAGAACCAATCACCCGGTTTACACACCCTATGATGGTCCTACTGAAGATAGTTTAAGATCGGACCCTTGAAGAACAAAAGATACTCAATCTTACTCGCTCTCACCGTCAAAATTCTAAAGATTACAAGTCATTCCTATTTATAGGAGCGGTCTCAAGGTGACCGTTTGAAATTGAGCAGACCTCAGACCCGTTACCTATATTGTTGTAGTAAACTAGTAATCATCATTGAGAAGGATAGAGATGGTGGTCGGCGACCTGGTTTCGTGTGTGGGGGTGAAGGTCTGCGAAATGAAGAACTCGAGAATACGAAACACTTGCGAATGACGATGCTTTTGTTCAGATCCATTTGTCGTTTCATTCTCTTTTATCATGCGACGCCGTTCTGTATATCTCGGAAGCAATATGGGTGACGACGTCGTTCTGCTCAGCAGTATCCTTCAAGAGACATCCAACACGCCAGCTCTTGGGCCGTGGGGGTAGGTAACAGGCCAGCTTCGATGTTGGGCCCAGACGAGCCAAACCCTGGTCGCCAAACCCCAGCCGCCGCCGCCACCAGCCAGTGAAGATCCCGCGGCCAGCGGCGCTCCCGCGACCAGCGCTGCCCTTGCGCCCTCGTCGTCTGCCACCGCCCCGTCGGCTCGGTCACTGCCGGCGCCGCGCGGCTCCGCCTGGCTCGGCAGTTGCCCCTGTCGCTGCGTCATGAACTCTCTCAGATCGACAATAGCCTTCCAAACCTCCTGCGAGTCTGTCTGACGAGCTTCCTGATTCCGAATAGCCCGCCAAATTTCCTGAGAGTCTGCCTGACGAGCTTCCTGATCCCGCTTTTGTGCGACCAACACCTTTTTCAAGATAGTGCGAAGGTCCTCCTCCTCCGTCACGTCCTCCACCACGCCCTCCTGGCGTCCTCTGCTGGCCACCGGCGGTGGGGGCCTTGACCGCGCCGTTTTGGCTAGGGCGGTGGTGGCCTGGGTTGGCTTCGACGGTACAGTCGCTGCAGTCACCATCTCTTCTCCATCACCAGCCTAACTTGCAGCTCCTCCCGCGACCGCCTTCTCCTGCGCGGCTTGGGCAGCCTTCTCAGCAGCCGTCATTGATTTCATCAGCACCATCCTGTTCGTCAGACCTTGATCAAGAACGGGGCTCTGATACCAGATGATAGAGCCCGGGAAATTGGGTTCTATCTAGGGATTGGGGATGATCAATTAGGGATTGATCTCTTGTGTCACAGAAAGTGGGGAAAGGATGAGAATTTGGTGGGACGAGAAGAAGAAGAGGGAATGGGGAGAGATTGATTTGGGACAAGAAAAGAAGAAGGGAAGGGAAAAAGAGTGTTGTTGTGCAGCCGAAGAAGGGAAGGGGAAAAAAGAGTGGGACGGCAGAGAGAGGAAGAGAGAGAAAGAAAATTTAGTATTAGGTTTTAGGTTTAATTTTTGCTTAATCCTTTAATTCAACGTACAATTAGTTTATATAAAAATGGCTAATTCCCTACTGCTATCCGATTATTCCCCCAATTCCCGAATAGTCCAAATAATCCGAATAATAATAAAAAAACAATAATTCAAAATACTAAAATGCAAGTTCGAACTTCTTTAATGTAAATAAGCACAACTTCTATGGAATATAAACTAATGTCATATTCTAAAAGAAAAAAATAACTATTGTGAGATATGGCAGGGGTGAATTGCAAATTTGGTCACCCATATTACTCATTTATAACTCTTTAGCCACCCGAATCGAAAACCATTCAACTTAGCCACTGATATTACACGTTTATGTCATATTTAGTCACTCGCCGTCTAGTTCTGTTAAGTCTGTCCTAGGTGGCAGTCAACTCCAATGTTTGACCATTAAAAAGCTGATGTGTCATTTAAAAAATAATTAATTAATAAATTTAAATTTATTATATTTTACAGTTCACAATTTTCAACTCCAACATTTGACCGGCTCCCTTCCGTCCCTCCCTTCCCCAACTAGTTACCCAATAAATTAAAAAGAAAAATCCCCTGCCCCTCTCTCTTCTCCGACCACTGAGTTAACTTGAATGATGGAGAAGAATGTAAAAGGCATCAAGCTTGCTTCTGGGTTATAATGGATATGAGAAATCCATCGTCCAGCAACAAAAGCCATTCGTAGGAAGTCACCCTCTCGTCAGAGAAATCGGTCGTCGTGCTGACGACGCTCCATTGGAACTCGTCTAGATCTGGAAGAAACTCAACAGCGGGGCATCCCTGTCGTTGACGCGGGTGACGCGGGCTTGGGAGAAGAACTTGCGGCCGCGATCCCCCCAGCCGAAATGATCCGACGATGGAGATAATTGGCGAGAGGACTGGGAGAGACAGAAGGGAGCATGCGTTTCGCCAAGGGACCCTGAATCAGCGGGAGAATGGGGAAATGGGTGACCCCATTCCTCTCGATGACCTTGATTGCTTCATCCACATCGAATTTCTTCATCACTACAATGGTGGAACCCAATGATAGCAGCCCGGCGGTGAACGGAACGAGGCCATAGGAATATCACAGGAGGGTGGGAGAGAGGAAGGAGAAGAAATGGCCACCAGAGGGAGCAGATCGGAGAAGGTGAAGAGGATTTTCCAGCAGTTCGACCTCAACAGCAACGGCGGGCTCAACAGGGAGGAAATGTCGGCCCTGGTGGTGGCCGTTAACCCCCGGGTGAAATTCAGCGAGGAGCAAATCAATGCCATCCTCGACGAGGTGTTTCGGACGTACGGCGAGTTCATCGACGGGGACAAAGGTTTGACATACGAGGGGCTTTTGCGGACCTACGACGACGGTGCCGGCGACGTCGACCGTGACTTCGACGCGCTGGAGCTGGAGCTCAATTTGGACGATAACAACAACGACAACAACAAAGGGATCTCGGAAGCGGCGGAGGCGTCGTCGTCGATTGCCGACGAGAGAGTAATTGAGGCGCAGAAGAAGCAGCGGACTGCGGCGTGGGCTGTCTCTCCTAACCACGGTATTGTGTTCGACGATACTTGGAAGATTGTCGATGATTTGGAGATTTTGATCAAGAGGTTGAAAGCCAAGCAGGCTAAAGACGGGAAATTGAAGGGGGATAACGTTGATAGTTACTCCGACGACGGTTGGTCGAGGGAATTGGGTCCCTCATCGGAGATCTCTGATAAGAGAATAATCTGGGAAGAGGCGGGGCATGATTATGCATCCTTCGTGAAGGAATTGGGAGCTTTGAGGACTAGAGCTGATGGGGCTAGATCCAGAGAAGAAGCATTTGATGGTCATATGGCAATCGGGGTGAACAGAACGTTCTCTGGAGTTAGGAAATCGTACATCGAGGCTTCGAACCTCACGAAGAGCTACCTGCAACTATCAAGTTGTCGTGGGTCAGCACGGCGCCCTTGCTGGCGCCACTGGTTCCGGAAGATATTGATGGAGGAGGAAGAACCGGCGACGACGGATTTTGTAAAGGGAGAGACAGAAGGGAGCTGGTAGATTTGGGAGAAAGTTATTCAGAGGGTCGATTTCGCCGTTTCTTTCTGCCTATTTTTCTTTCAGAGAGTGCGACGGTGATGGCGGCGGAGATTGCGATGGCGGATTTGCGGCATAGGAGGAGGTCGGCGATTTGTGTGTTAGTGGGTAAAGTGAACTATTTTTATTAAAATAAATTGAAAATTGAAATTGTGAGCTGTAAAATATAAGACATTTAAATTTATTAATTATTTATTTTTTAAATGACACATCAGCTTTTTAATGGTCAAACGTTAGAGTTGACTGCCACCTAGGACAGACTTAACGGAACTAGACGGCAAGTGACCAAATATGACATAAACGTGTAGTATCAGTGGCTAACTTGAATGGTTTTCGATTCGGGTGGCTAAAGTGTTATAAATGAGTAATATGGGTGACCAAGTTTGCAATTCACCCGATATGGCAGAGTTGTTCTGTAAACATGTGAAGCCATAGTTTTTAAGCATGTACGAAAACGGCTTGATCAAGCTTCTGAAGCAAGTCGATAAAGAACTTTAGGATCTTGACCTGGACGATTGACTCCGAGAGAAAGAGGATGTTAGCACCTAGGAAAAGCAGTGGTTCTGTCAATCACAAGCAGTTTTGTACAACTTCTCCAGATTGATAATCTGACAAAAATGCAAGCACTTCTTTTTCTTTTACCTGATACAACTTTGGGCCCTTTTTGAGGAGACAGCCAGCATTGTTTAAATTTTCCACAAAGGTGTCGATATCAGGAACTCTTAGCCCAATCCTGTCCGCCAAACTGTATATATCCTGTTGCACAAACAACAGGGAAGCTTAAATATGGATTAGGATGAGCTATGCTTTACAAGGAAGAAATACAGTAGATGGAACACAAAGAAGGGACTGAGTGAATACTGCGATTGAAAATATATCTTTCTGCAGCAACTCTGACTGGCTGTTGAGCGCGCTTAAAAACCGTTTTGCTTCTTTGTGCTGACTCATTCCCCCACTTCGACCAAAATCCACAACTCCATGCTCGTCGATGTATTTGTCGTACAGTGATTCTTTCATTATTTCGACAACCTCCTGCAAATTCAGATGCAAGAAAAGTGAGGTCTTTTGATGAACTTACCTTCTGCCTCGGTGATAGTCTCTTCTCTAGGTTCATACTGCAATAAACTAACTCACCATTGCATCCTGGGATGTTATTTCTTCTCTCAATTCTAATCGTGCTCGGGCTTCCGCTAGTCGTACCAGACTTTCCAACTGTCTAGCTGTTATGGGTATACCATCAGCTGATGTGTTATGGTCCCTTAGTTTTAAATAGAATTTCTTCAGAATTTCTGCTGCTGGTTTTGTCATCCTGTACGAAGCGGGGCGAGGTAAACGACAACGATCAGGTGGCAGAAATCACATTCAGTCAAATATGACGGAGTTCAGCAATAAACAAATACCTAGGAAAGACATAAGTTCTAGCATAGGCAATGTATTTTCGAAGAAGTGGGGCCGGCAAAGGAGAGAAATCAGCATCCTTGTGAGGGTCAAGCCTCAACCTTGAAGCTAATGACCCATGTCTTACACTTGCATCTATGGCACCATTCTGTGAACCTACAGTTTACTTGACCATGTTCATCAGTTGTTACAAGAATGCATCAGATTCTTCAAAACAAGTGTGAACAACATGTAAAAATTGGTAGGAAATTGGGATGTTACCAGTTCGTTGTCTTTTTTTTACAGAGGAATGTTCCCTACTTCCAGCATGAAGCTGCAAAGACAAAAATGCACATTCCCAATCCAATTATGGGTAAAAGACGTGGATGCTTCCTTGGTCTCAACTTTTGCAGCTAAGTATATCAACGCACTCTACACGAACATAAAAAAACTTTCAATTCTTTCATGAGCCATTTCCAAGAGAGAATAATTACTTACTGATATAATGTGGTCTGAGAGACGCTTGTCAAGTACTTCATCAGGTTTATCAAGTAATATGAAAACTAAATCGAACCGCGACAGGAGAGCAGCACTCATTTTGAGGTTCTCATTCACCGTCTTTGCTCGGCTGCAAATTGATTCCAGATATCAGAGGTAACTAAGCTACATACCATACGCATGGGTATTCTGCACTTGTAACAATTTTGTCCTAGACTAGACACACATCAAGAGAAAATTTATTGAAAGAAAGGGTAGATTAATAATCTAAATTAGATTACTTATAATGACCACCGACAGGATTCGCTGCAGCTAAAACAGATGTCCTTGCAGATAAGCTTGCTACAAGTCCGGCCTTGGCCACAGAGACACACTGTTGTTCCATAGCTTCCAGTAGGGCCTGAAAATCAAATTACTTAAGTTGACAATTGAAGATTCAGAACAATCAAGGATAACTATTAACAACTTCAAATTGGGCATAAACCTGATGTTGGGCAGACATTTTATCAAATTCATCAATACAACACAGGCCACTATCTGCAAGTACCATTGCCCCTGTTAAAAACATAACCACTCATCAAAACTTGATCCCATTGTTGGTAATAAAAAGACTACTGTATCATAAATCATATATCATATTCAAGCTTTTGATTAGCACATAAGAGATACCAAATTATAACATAAAGCAAACGATTACCAGCTTCAAAGGCATAGTCACTTGTCATTGAATCTCTTACAACTGCAACTGTAAGCCCAGCATTGGTTGTTGCATTGCCACACACATAAATACCACGTGGAGAAACAGCTGCTGCTGCTTGAAGTAGCTGACTCTTGCCCAGTCCAGGGTCACCTATCAAAATACAAGTAGTTTCCGAAGTTCCTCTTTTGGTGTTGGACAAAATTCTAAAATGTAGACCAGGTTCTCTCACATAAATGGCCATATGGTAATTCATTAGGATGAAGCAAATATTACTCTAAGAAAAGTTGACTAGGTCATCATACCAACAATTATGACATGGATGTCTCCTCTGACAGGAACCTTATTCTGATCCATTGAATGCTTACGAACGCCTCCGAAAAGTGATAATGTGATTCCCGCTGTCAGTAAGTAGAGAACGCAGAAACTAAATGCTCCTGAAACTCTCATGGTCTCTATACACGGGACAGGTACAAATAAAGTTCAAGAACATTAGCATACCTTTAACAAGCTCGTGTCCATATATAGATGGACATATAGACTGAAGTAACTGTTTGAATACATCAGAGCCATACTCTTCATAAAACTTCACCACAAATTCCAGATCTCGTGAAGAAAATGAAAATAAATCAGATAGCTCAGTAGCTCTAGCATTAGATGCAGAATCTTGCATTTCATCTGATAAAGATTGCGACTTGGAGTTTTTAACCGAAACCGCTTCGATATACAGGTAGTAAAGTCCTTGACTTTTTCCCTTTCCCTTTCCTGTAAAATTTAACGGTCACAGAAATCCATAGTTTAGACCTCGTATGTGAAATGACAGATTAACAAGATTGCAGATAACGTGGGAAAGCAAAGAGGAAGTTCCACAACATCCAGAAAACTAAGAATTATGACATTCTATATCACACAGTGAATTAACCTGGCTCTACATCTCATCAAACTCATTCTTTTTTTGGTAAAGATGAACGAAGAAATAAATGATTTCCAGGACCCGATGCAAACAAATGATATTTCTGTGTTACTTTGTGGACCGTGACTCAGCAATCGGTGGATACTAGTTGGAACATTTCAAGACTAGATTACATTAATCAATAGGGGGTTAATGATTGTTAACCTTACGGAGTAAAATGCTTAACTGTTTTAGGTAGGTCGCTTACAAAGAATACACATCATACATTACTGCCATCGCACAAGCATAGAGTTAACCCATCACTTGACCATATTGGCAATACATATAAACCTCAGTAGTATTTACCTAAGGTGCAAAATTCATTAAACCCAATGTTAATGAACTAGAAGAAGCAGTAAATACACCAAAGTAATTATTATACCTCCTCCAATATCCGCATAATTATTAATTGTCCTTATAATTCCAGTAACAGTGACGACATCTCCAGGAATGCATCCGTCAACAAGGTCCTCCGTAAGCTCACATTCTACAGTTCGAGGCACCCTCCCTTCTTCATGATCTTGAGACTTAAGTGACTCCTGCAACCTATGCCAGGCAGTTCCCCAAGTCAATAGACAAAAATTAAAGGACAAGTTGGAAAGAAGGTTAACAAGGAAATGCAAGTAGCAAGGAAGCCTCAAAGTCTACTTACTACCATGTACCTTATTTTCTGAAAATCTATTGCTTTAGCTGAAGATCTGATCGGTTTGAAAGTTTTACTCTTACATCCATTTAAATTGCAAAGATACGGTGGTGAAAACTTTCCATCTGGAAACACCCGTGCAATGTTGGATTTACAGTTTTCACAGTCAAAACTCATCCGGACGACAAGAGGCTTCACTGTGCTAACCTTCACCACTGTTCCACGAACAGATACAAGCTTGTCTGTTAAACAAGGATGGATTCCGTTACTTATGGTGTTTCTCCGTGAACACAAGGATAAAAAAAAAATGTTAGTAGCTTAAGTTTAAGTTACCAATATAAGCTGCCTTCAGGTTTTTGAGGGCCATCATTGATTCTGGATAGTTATGAAGACGGATGTTGATCCTCATCCCATCCTCCAGCAAGATATGATTCGAATTACTTTGGATCACCTGTTGATACAGACAAATAATAAAATTCAGCCAAAGGAATTCCAATATATCGGGAGTCTTACGTTTGGAAACTTTGTGTTTACCTTGTGAACTGCTGCACTCATACAAGAAATAGCAGCTCTAGGTTTATCTTCTAAAGTGGCATAAAACTCATGGACATTGCATATTTTACGGAAGTGTTGAAAATCCACAGGTAAGAACAACGCGCCGTTCTCATCCTTCACCTGCTCATATGTATTCAATCGTCAGTGCAAGTGTAATCAACAATCAGTAAGCAGAATTCTAGGGTTAAAAGTTATCCGGTAGCATTCAAATCCTAAAATCAATTTCAAAATAAATTAGCTCGAAACAACTCCCGGAAGCAAGTTCCAGTGGAATTGCCAAATGGAAAGCGGTTCATACCAATTTGGCTTAACACAATCAAAACACCTCTGATTAACAGGATAATTTAAGTTTGCAAATCTACAAAAGGCTAAATAGGTTGCATATTTGCGCAATTAAAGTACACAATCAATTTGACAACTCAAATTGAACTGTGGTTCCAAGGTGCTACCTGCGAGACGAGGTCTTGGCCGGGAGGAGTTGAGAAGAAGTGAAGGAGCTCGGACGTTAGCATCAACTTGTCCTCCTCGGCGGTGAAATCGTTCGAAGGAAAGTAAATGGCCAGAATGTTTACGATATCGTCGCCGTAGGTTATCGAGCGGTGGCTATGATGCTTTCCCGGTGTGCTCTCTCCGCCGAAGCCGTGCATGTTGACCAAGCGTGCTTTTGACGGCTCCTCTCCTGGTTGCCTTTCACAGTTGTGCAGAATGCTGATAGTGACAGCAGCAGTTCTTTGTTTTAGTTTTCTCGAAGGTACTTACAACCTCTCGTTTTGGCGGGAGACAGAAGGGAACAGAAACGGGCCAGACGTCTGATGGGCTCTTTTTTTCTGAATGGCTAAACGTCGCCCTAGATTTACTATTATCGCCCTAATTCTAAAGCTAAAATTACTAAATTATCCTTTATTAATCAAATCTAATAAATAAACAACCCAATAACTACGCTCGACGCCGTATGACTAAAGCCCTAAATCACTACTTTCCTTCTCCATCAGTGGAGTTCAGACGACGAGAATTGACTGGCGGAGGAGACGAGAAGATTCATATCAAAAGGAGAATAGATGTTTTTTAAATAAATGTGCCAACTCCGGTTCGGTACCTAAACCCCAAGACATGAAGCCGGAAGTCGGTCGGGAGAAGTTAGGTTGAGAGCAAAGATCGGAACTCCGGGATTCAACCTGATCTCGCTTGGATTGGTGGATGTGGATAAAATTGTCAAGTACGAGTTAACTATGGAAGACGAGAGGTGTTTGGCGAAGGAGTATAATACGGTTTTGACGAGGAATCATAGGGCGATGCAGGAGGCGGAGATGAAGCTGCTTAGGATGAAGAAATATAAAAAGAGTATGCAGAGATACAAGAAAAAGTTAGTCTTGATCATGGTTGTCACGCCGGCCGGCGTGCCACCGGTTGTACCGGGTTCAACCGGTATCGGTCATAAAACCGGCGTGATACTACCGGTATGACCGGCATGATCGATATACGAATCTCTAAGTAAAATGACCTTATTTTAGAAATTTTAATTGATAAAAATTAGTTTATTATTTATTTTATGAGTGTAAAAGTTAAATATTGATGTTATTTGTTGGATTCAAGTATAAATGTTTAGGTATTGACATTAAATGTCATGTTTAAATATGAGTATTTATAATTTTATTTGTAATATTGACCGGCATGACCCGGCACAAACCGGTATGTGCCACCGGTTGAACCATTCCACTTGCTAAACCGGCACACTGGCATAAACCGGTTTGACAACCTTGGTCTTGATCCAAGCCATTAAAAAGATCATTGCCTGCTGGAGAGCTCTCACGACCTGCAACGGGACTCACGCTTAGGTATTTGTTCCGGAACTGAAAACGGAGAGGTGAGAGAGAAGACTTGCAACATCAAACTTTTTTATTGGTGAATGAGTTTTGGTTGTTAAAATAATTTTTTTAAACAATAAAAAAAGAAAAAGCTAAAGTCGTAATTTTCAAGTTAGGGCGTTTATAATTAGGGCGACAATTAGCAATCCCCTTTTTTTGGATCATGGACATTTTTGTAGAGAATCATAGTAGTAACTAAACTAGTTTATACCGTCACCCTGGTTTAGCCATTATAATGGTTTTAATCGGTAGTTTAAGTTGTGCCGGTTTATACAGGTGGAATAAAATATTTAGAAATATAAACATCATTAATATCAAATTAATTCAATCATATATAAAAAAAAATATTTGAAAAGACAATTTTTTTGTATTTGAATATACAACATTTCAAATAAAATAGCAAATACTCATATTCAAATACAATATTTAATGTCAGTTCCTAAATATTTATACTTAAATTCAACAAACAACATTAACTTTTAAATTCATAAAATAAATAATATATTAATATTTTATTAATTAAATTCAAAGCGATATCATTTTGCTTAGAAATCGAAAACGATCATGACGACCATACTAGTGGTGTTAATTCCAGTTTCATGACTTGCACCGGTTCAACCAGTTTACTGGGTGGCACGCTACCTTTTTGGCAACCATGCATAATAACAATGTCGTTCAAAATCTTTTTGGCAAAATGTGTTGTCTCTCTGTTTTTTATAAAAAGAATCTTGTAACTTCTATAAAAAAAACCCTTGTAACTTTCAGTTAACTTGGAATAGTATCGTTATAGTCGAGAATGAAATGTTTAATGAGAAATAGAAGGTTTAGTTATCCAAACCTCTGTGTTTACACGTAAAAATTAATCTCATACCACATCGAATAATTACAAAGAATTTAATGAATTTATAAGGCTAACTCATCATTAATCACTAAATGAGCTAACTGGGCTTTATTGAGTTGATTTTTGGTCAAAGTGGCCAAATTCCCTCTCCTGTGGCCGATTAATCTCTTGGCATCCATGGTCAGCGGCCTCCTCCTCCTCGGTATGAAATATGGCTCTAAGAAAACAAAGTCTAGAAACAATGCAAACTTGGTGCTAACCAACACGGTACCACGCCGACAAGGCAGATTGGTATCAAGACATGAAATTTGGCAAAGTATGAAGCCAATTGGGTAGCAAGCCGACAAAGAAGGCCTGGTACCAAAACATGAAATTTGGCTAAGTATGGAGCTAAGAGAGTACCAAGCCAGTAAGGCAAGCTTGGCACCAAGACACCAAATTTGGCTAAGTATGGAGCCAATAGGGTACTGATCGATTCATTCAATGCAGGTCATTGTCAGTAATTTGCACGAACCAATAACTACCCCAATCTAGGCCAAGTTTAACTTATAAAGGTGTTGTCATATAGTGATAATCAAGGTCGTATTCACTCGGGTCTCGGTACCATAGCCTACTTCCCTTCCCCGTTGTTGTTATCTAGCCGATCGGTTTAAGGGGTTGTGTTGGAGGATTCAAGTGAAATAACTAGTAGAGAGAATAAACAAGGATAAAAGCAGGTACTTTGGGGAACTAACCCTCGCCCTAGCCTATGTCTATCATGCAGATGTCTAAACATGTTGGGTTAAGCGAATGTGGAGAGTGAGCTCTTTTTCGTGGCCTTAGTGATTATTAAAATGCCTCTGAGTACGCCCTACCTAACCCATTGTCACCTCGATATAGGCTCACATATTTGGGGCTTTAAGAACTTAGCTCCTTTCAGTGGGTACTACCCACCGTCCACACCGAGGTTTCATCCCGGGTTCCATCTAGGTAGGCATTTGACTCGCTTGTATCATCACACTAGATGTGGTTTACCTTTATTTGTCAACCCGGGTCCTAGATGTGATGACTACTCTGTGAAGTTCTTATTATCTAGCTTTTTAAGTGTAGTGAAGTTATAACTAATCTAAGCAAGCTAAAAGGAGTAAAGTTGAGATTCAAGTTCGAGAAAGGTCACCCAAATTGCAGTTAAGCTGAGTTGTAATTCGCCAAGTCCAGATTTAATGATAGTTATACTGCAAAAGGTTCTTAACCAGTCTGAATTCTCGACTAAAGTTCTTAAGACCCTCTCAGTCTGAATACCCGGCGGGCGACTAACCTCCACTGGAGTAAACGAACTGAGTCCCTAACATGCAAAACCTTCTCTACTAGAGTAAATCCAGTACAAAGCAGTGAATTGACTTCTCGACTAAAGTAGTCAATTTACCACCATTAATCAAGGGTGCTCTATCAACCTAGGCATATATTCTCTTTCTCAGTAAAAGCAGAAACTACAAGAATGTGATCAAGATTCATGCAATTATGAAATTATGCCTCAATCGAATATAATCAAATATAAAAAACATCATATACTTGCGTTCATACAATCAAACCTTACATACAAATCTAGGGTTCTTCATATCCAGGTGAGAGAGGGAGTTTACTCCATAGAGAGAGAAGAGAAATCATATTGGGGAAGATGAAATCCAGCTTCTGGTTGTCAATCAGCACTTCTCCATGCTTCAATTGAGCTCCAATGGTGTCAAAACTCGATCTACGTCACCTTGGAGGTTGGGTTCATCACTTTCTCTCTCTAGATCTCTCTTTCTTGCTCTAAAACTTGGATGATAGACCAAAAACCCAAAATCCGCTTGTAACATTCCCAACTCCCGAAACCCTGTCCAAATACCCGGTCGGTGACTTGCTAAAACACAACACCAAACTACGACCAAGTTTAATCGTAGTCTGGAAATGTAGAATAGTGGGTAAGTTTAATTTATCAACCTGGGGTCTACATCTACTGCCTACTCTGTTAACTTCTGTTATCTAGCGGGACTAAGTGAGTGAAGTTGAATTCAAACCAAAACAGAAAGAAAGTAGTAAATTGTCCGGTTTTCTGAAGTAAGAGAAGAGTCATCGGGAATGAGTCCCCCTAGCTCCTTAATTAAGTCCAAGTTGTAATTTTATTTGGTTGATTCACTGTTGATTAAACTGCGGAAGATCCAACAGTAGCTTAGAATCTCTTGAGCTGACCAAGACCTCTTAGACAAACTAACAGATAGACGACTAGTCTTCACCGGGATAGAATGCTATGGCAATTAACACAGAACTCCACTAATGGAAACATATTCCAATACAAAGCAGTGAATTGACTAACTCTCGTATAATTAATTCAATCCTATCGATTGAAGAAGCTCTAACAACCTATTCAGATTCTATCTATCACAGGTTGAAGCAAAAATCAAGAGAAGTTGATCAGGAATAAATTGACTCAATAAACACGCTTCAATCAATTAAAATCAATCAGTATATCATCCCAAAAGTCATTACAATCAAGATCCCTAATACATGTAACTAGGGTTCTTCATACCCAAGTGAGAGAAAGGTCTACTCCATAGAGAGAGAGAGGAAAACAAAAATCAAAGCAGTCATACTCAAAAGGATGGGAATAATCTGCTTTGGGATGTCAATCTTCACTCCTGGGATGCAATCTAGACTTCAATGTTGAGAAATCCACTCCAAATAGCTCCTATGGATTGTTCTTCGCATTTTCTCTCTCTAATAAAGTAGACCCCTTCAAAATATGAGCTCCTCTCCAATAAAATCCGCACAGGTGCAAAAACACGGCCTCTAATCCCAAAAACCCGATCGTGTTTTAATAAGAAGAGGTCGTGTTTTGAAATGATGATTCTGTGAAGTGCAGAGGAAAAACCCGGCCTCTGACACAAGGTCGTGATTTTTACAATAGAGGCCGTGTTTGAGGGTGTGTTTTTCAGCAGCCCTGTTGCCCAGTTTTCGCGATCGACCTTATTTCACCTCCAAATGTCCCGAAACTCCCCCCCAAGACATACCTACATACTAGGACCTGAAATATGACAAAAGAACACAACCTAGCATAAAATAGGCCAAAGATTGATCAATCACTAAGCTAAACGATCAAGAAATGAAGGGAAAAACTTGTGCGAATGCGGTGTTATCAAATTTCCACACAACTTAATCGTTTGCTTGTCCCCAAGCAAACCAAGTCAGACACAAGGTAAGGTCAAAACATTTTAACCACACAAACTTTGGGGACATATCATATAGGCACAAAACACGTGAATCATATTAGCTTTTAGACATCAACACATGAATAACAACAACAACAACCTGTACAACCACCAAAGATGACATTCGAGTGCAGCAAAATCAGGTAGAGGAATAATTTCCCTTCTGTTCACCGACCACCATAGACTTAAATCAACCACTCCTCCAAAAAAGTCACCCATGCATAATATTCAAGACATCAGAATCAAGACCGAGAAGTCTAGGTCCTCACCGGGGTAAAGAATATAAGGAAATGAATCACTCACTCTCGACCAGTGGGGTCAGAACAATTTGATGCAAAAAACTGCGCATGCTTATTCTCTCAATCCTAACATCTCTTCACCATGATGGAAGCCTCTAAATGCTAGAGTTCACATATCGGGTGTCCCCACTAACTAGTCAGGAGGTCTTAGACACGGGTTCAGATGACTGGCTAGGGTCTTGGACATGGGGAAAATGCCTTTTAGGTGGTGGAAGAACTCATACAAAGGTT